CCTAAACGTACTGTTGCAGTGATTGTGCAAGGAACATCGAGATTATAATGCTGCCAATATTCTCAGGGGTATGTTATTCAAATACTTTTAACATCATAAAAAATGTACAATTATTTCAACATTCTTTATACTTAAACTGTTTCAAAACCCGAAAACTTCTAACAAAAATACTTTGTTATAATTTCTGATGTGAATCAATTCGGTAATTTTTAATGTCAACAGTTTACTAGATGATTTCCAATACCATGGTATTACTTTTCGCACATTTTCGGTTTTTAATATAGCCAGTAAGAGTTCATTTATTTATTGAAGATTGCCGCTGTGATCCTAATGTTTTATATTGGATCCTCTCTGACAGATGAATCGGACAAAACAGCAACGGCATTAAAATATGTAAATGTGCTTGGTGAAGACGGATCTTACGAATATAGGTAAGTCATCTAAAATATGCAAATTAAATTAAAATTAAGCAAAAAATAGTTCTGTAACTTTCCAATTATAGTTAAACATCTTAGAAATGCAAATATTTACAAAACATTCCAGTTTTCAATTGTAACTATTTTACTTTCTGAAAAAGACTTTTTTTTATGATTGTATTCTCCTACGAATACTCAATTTATAAAAATATTATGTACCTATAGACAAAATCGAAGCCATTAACTAGAAGACAATAAATGTGCATTCAAAACTAGTAGCCGTATTTGATGAACACATTTCAAAAATAATAAAAATGCTGTATGTACGTATACACTTATGTAAAAACGCGTCAGAAGTTCTTTGGCGTTCCTGATAGTAATGAATTTATTTAAACATTGTGCAGTGCTGCTCCTGCTGGCCGGTGTTCAAACTTACTCCAAAAACTAGACAAGACCACAACCGCTAATTTTGCTCATAAAGTCGTAGACAGGATGCAATGAACTCTATATTGTCGGATTTTCGTTTCCTGTTACGCACACAACATCCATTCCTAAATAAAATTTTACTCTAAAGGCCCGAATGAAAGATAACCTCTCAGAAACATTGCATTCTTCTACTGTTATGGAATGCTACATCCTCAGCTTAGCTTATTTGGTTTAGCATTCGATTTTGATGACCGTGATTTAGTATTGGATCTCCTCCTTCGGTGAATCTACAGATAAATCCGTTTATCCAGTTTTATTAGTTTTCATCCTTAAGGAACGTAGCGAGGGATCATAGAGAATCTTTCTCTGCGGTTGTGCTGAAACTGAGTCTCTGTTTTCTGGAACTCTGCAAAGGATTCTACGCTCTCGCGAAACTTTAAATAAACGGTTCCATGCGCGGAGAGCCAATCTTAAACTTAACTTTTTACGGTTACATTGTTCTATGTAAAAAAAAAATTAAGACTTGAACAAAAACGAACAGTATTCTTTTCTTTTATTTTAGGGGCTTTTACGTTGTTAAGGTGTACGCAT